GAATATGTCAGCTGCTTTTGTACACAACTGATTAATGCTTTTCATTCTCATGTCCTCGCATAGCTGTCGTTATCAGTATTATCTTGTCAATTTTATTGGAGCAGTATTATGTAGTTTGATATTTTGACATCTTCTCAGTTTGCAAATAAAGTCTTGAGAACATTTGCGATTTGCACTGATGTTTTCCATTATTCGAATGGGTTTTAAAAAGCCTCTCAAATCGGAGTTCATATGAAAATACTTATTCCAAGACAGCCTAACTAGAAAGAAACAATTTTATGTAGGATCGTATCATCGTATCGGACCTCTCTAAGATTTAACCGACAACAAGTTGGCAGTTGATTTGAGTCGGTGTTTCTTAAAGAATAATGGATCTGTCGAAGATGTCGAACGCCGACCGTGTGCAGTTATGTCGACGATATTTTTATATAGGACTGGCGTTGTTACCGCTTGTGTGGATTGTGAATTTCGTTTGTTTCTTTCGATACGCATTCTTCGTCGACACTTCACCGGCACAGAAAATCATTCGAAAGTGTTCGTTTCATTTTATTACACTTTATTATTATTATTCATCTGCAAAAAATTGCGAGTAGTTAGTTGCGTTGTTGTAATATTGATTACAGTGATATATTTTTGTAATCGCCTCCATATGTGTTTCATGATGATGGCTTAATAATGGACTTGAAAGTGGTAAGCAATAGATAAATTCAGACCAATCATAAAAGGTATCAAATTACAGATGTGATATTCTCATTAGTGGGCGCATCGTTTTGGATTGTTATTCTAACCGTTTGGGAAGTATACTTTCAATGGCAGCGTTTGAAAGGCTTCGAATGGACCGATCGACTATCATTTGTTTTTCCGCTTGGTTATGTGTAACTGATTGATGATGATTATGTTGATCCGTCATCAGTTACTGACATTCGATATCGTAATGGATTGTTCATTCGGTAGTGCTGCTGCTGTTGTTGTTATTCAACACTCTGAATTATCGTTTTGATAATTCCTCTAATCGATACTAAACAATTTCGGTCATTTTCGTTCCTCCAACAAACTTATCAGCAACAACAGTACAATATTACGATTGTATTTTTTATATCAAAACTTACTGTATCATGCATGTCTTTGATCGTATTCCTGATACGAAAGGGCTTTAATGGGAGCTTTGAGATGGATCGGATAAGTCTTACCGTGGTGATTCCGGATCTGTTTCCCAAATTTGTGAGTGCAGCTCTTGGGTAGTCAAATGGCAAATATGCACAAATTGGAATCGCAATTTTGAGTATTTCTCGAACATTTCGCCGACACTCTCGATGCAGTTTACTTGTATCAGGTCAAGTGCGCCGGTCGTATTCTGTTGATTCGTGCTGTGTGTATGTATATGTTGTTGAGTTCGTTGATATTTTGATAAGATTGTTGTTCCGCATCATAATTGTAAGTAAACGTTATTGTGTTCATTCATCAGCAGTCGATTGATTCAGAACGATCTTCACTGCTGAGTTACCGTTACAGTTATTACTTAACTCATCTGCTATCTTGTCTTTTGCGTTTACATAAAGAACTGATTCTGATGCAGTGAAGTAGGATGAGTTTTATAGAACATAATGAT